CACCAGTGGTGTACTGCCTCTGAATAATGATGTTTCACTTAGTTTTTCTGGCTAATAGCCTCCATTAATTTGATTATTCTCATTTTGAAAGCATCTAAATTGATGGCCATTGCCACATAGTGTACAGTGCCAACAGGAAATGCCATTAGTTAATTAGGCTTCATGTGAAAAAATACTTTCTATTGTCTGTCTTGACTCTTTTGGGTGACCCTAGTTCTAGAGTTACCATGGAATTCATCATTGAATAAGGATGCATCAAAGTCCCATATAGACACAATGTATGAAGCACAGAAATCCATTCACATGGCTTGAAAAGGACAACGTCCTTTGCATTTACTGCTATGGGGCAGAACTCAGCCGAAGATAAGGATGGATCAGCCACCAGATTTAATGACTGTTAAGCACATGCTTTACTTTTCTGCTGAGATCAAGGAAGCCCAAGTGTGCTTAACTTTCTAAAATGCCCCGTGCTTGCAAAATAAGGAGGAAAGAAACCAAGTTAAAGCTGAGCTGCTTCATTAATTCAGTGCATTTGCTTCCCTCCGCCTCCCTTAAAAACCACACTGTGCTTTATTCTGTGTTGTTGTTGAATGATGTGAACCTTGCAGCTGTAAAACTCATTAGGAGCCACTGTAACTTGTTCATGAGAATGTGACGGTAGAAGTACTGACAACGTGAAAAAGAGTAGGGACTTAATGCTCTGCTTGGGGGGTGAGTCATTCTATACTGTTTTCTTTCCTGGTTCCATTCTGCTATCCATCTCTCTTGTCATCCAATATGATAGTCTCCTATCCTTGCTTTCTCCATTCCTCTCCCTGTCTCTTAGCAGAATTGCCTGTATTTCTTTTCCACTTTATCTTACCTCAGCAACTCCCTCATGCCTCTCTCCTCCATACTTGCTTGTCAATCTTTCCTTTCGCACTCACAGAGAACAAAGTAGAAAGGGCCCATTACCGTGTACTCTTCTCACCTGCTCTGGTTAACTCCAGCAAAGCAAGTGCAACTGCATCTTGATCAATCTAATAGAATACACTTTTTCCATGAATCTAGTGTTTCTCAAACTTGGGTCCCCAGCTGTTGTTGGACTACAACTCCCATCATCCCTACTAGCAAGACCAGTCAGTTGTCAGGGATGGTGGGACTTGTAGTCCAACAACAAAAGGTTTTCCCAGTCATGTGCCATAGAACCATGTTGTTCCTTGCAAGATTATCATGGGTCTTTCACTAATGGTGAACAAAGGAAGCTTAACCACCATTATTGATTTTCCTCTGCAATTCATAGCAAAAATTGTTGTTTCTTCAGCTTGTAAACCACCTTGTGTATAGTGATATAGAAATTTTATGCTTTCTTTCTTAGTTTATGCTGTGCTTGTCTTGTATTTCTGTTTTAATAGCTTTTAGAATATCTATTGATGTGTTTTAATGTGTTGTACGTCATCCTGTGACCTCATGGTGAAAGATGGTATGTAAATTCCTAAAGAAATGGACAAATAAACCAATAGAAATTTCAAAAACAAAACAAACTGCTGGTCTAGGGAACATAATTTCTATGATTTGGTCAGGAGGAAGTGTGTATCTATGGTTGTTGAGCATAGTAATATCTTTGCAGTACTGCCTAGAATGTCACTTTTTTTACCACACGCACCACCAGCCCCACCATTTATATAACAAACTTTGTGTTTGGGTTTCAAACATTAGTTATTCAGTGTATGTTAGCGAAATGAAATGCCAATCATTGTGATGGATGAAGAGCAGGGGAAAGTTGGAAAGGGGGACATTCCAAGCCTTAGCTGGAGATGCCAAGGTTTGAACCTGGGAACTGCTCTACCTGCCACTTAGCCACAGCCCTTACCAGTTGTACAGCTTTGTCAAAACAATTGCACAAACCAGCAATTAATGGTTGTAAAAGCAAGAAGTCCCCATATTTTTAGATCAAAAACTCTCATTGTGCTGTTTTTCCCTGTCCCTCCTATCAGAAGCCTTGATTGTTCTCCACATGCAGCAGAAAAAGTGGTAGCAGAATCTTCCAGTGGCACTGTACTACTTCAGATAACAAACAAACAAACAAACAAACAAACAAACAAACGAAACAGGATAACAGTTCTAGCTCAGCTCAGCCCTTGTGGCACCAATTTCCCACTTACAGGGATTTTAAAATACATATACAAGTGTTTTCAAAAGTGGTGTCCTTCCCACATATAGTCTGAAACACAGCTCTGCCTAAGAGTGGTCACCACATTGTTTGTGGGCAGAAAAACAGAAGGAACCATTTCATCGATTTTCTCCAAGAGCAGGAAAAAATCTCCAACGTTTTCTCAGGGATGGGCCTGACCTTTAAAGGGACCCCTGACCAGTCTAGTCGTGACCTGTCCAGTCACAGACAACTATGGGGTTGTGGCACTCATCTGGCTTTATTGGCCAAGGGAGCTGGTGTACAGCTTCAGGTCATGTGGCCAGCATGTCTAAGCCGCTTCTGGCGAACCAGAGCAGTGCATGGAAATGCCGTTTACTTTCCCACTGGAGCAGTACCTATTTATCTACTTGCACTTTGACATGCTTTCAAACTGCTAGGTTGGCAGGAGCAGGGACCGAGCAACGGGAGCTCACCCCGGCACGGGGATTCGAACCGCCGACCTTCTGATCGGCAAGCCCTAGGCTCCGTGGTTTAACCCACAGTGCTACCTGCGTCCTTTAGCAGCTTCTTTTCTCCTCCCCCTCAGCCTCCCACAAAGGGTTTGTTTGCTTATCTGCTGCAAAGGACAGCAACAGCAACTATGTAGGCAGCCTGGTCATCATTTTGCATCCTCTTTGATGCGCTGAACATTGTGCCATTCCAGGGCATACAGCGGAAGGGGAGGATAGAAGGACGGCAGAATATTTGAATAAAATGCTGCAAAGTGGCCTTCATTTTATACCTAGGTGGAGAAAGGAAAATCTCAAGGGTTCCCCCCCCCCGGCCAAAAAAAATGTATTCTGAGAAATTTTGGCTCAGCCCTTAATCCAAAGTGGTACAGTCCATCCCATCTACAACCTTATCCTGCTGCACATGTAGGCCAGGTTTCAGGTACAATCTGAAAGCGAATTATCTCCTTATGCTGGAGTGCAGCCAGTCTTCCACAGACGGGACTCCTGCCTCTGTGTGTCTCTATGCTTCTCTCATGTATCCCCCTTCAAAATCTACCATCTGTTTGTTCTTCCTAAGGACATGAAATTAATTAAGGAAGAACATAGCTGTTTTTAGAGAACAGGAAATAACAATAATTAGTTGAGAGGCAATATTTCATTGTTTAAGTTACTCTCATCCCACAAGCAAGCATCAACATATTATTTGGGGCTTGCACGTACAAAACATGGCAACAGTGCTATTTTTCTAGAAAAGAACTCACCGTGAATGCCTCCCCTGTTCTCTTATAATGACAATGGCGCTCACCTGAGAGGTGCCAGAACTTAGTTCCAGCTTGGGGAAGGGGAGCTCTGCATGGCAGGATAAAGAAGCTAGTTTCCAGTTAAGGCATTGGATTGAGATTCTGGAGAGTTGTCTTCCATCCCTGGCTACTCTGAAACTTGGAATATGCTCTGTGACTCATCTGCACCACCTGTGAACTGGGAGAAATGCTTATGGAATGGCTGTGAGTCTAAAATGCATCCGTATCCATGAGGTGTTTAATATTAAACATGGAAAGCATAGGGGAACAGCTGCAGATCAGTGGCAGAGTGCATTCAGGAGGTCCTAGATTCAAAGCCTGGCATCTTCAGTTAACATGATCTCAGGCAGCAGGACTTGGAAAGAACTCGGGATAAGGTCCAAAGGAGCCACTGCTGGTTGGGAGTGCAGAATGCTGCTTCAAACATGCATGTAATTAATGATGTAAAAGAGATGCAACATGGCCACTGGCCACACCTGGCAGAAAGAGTGAAGGGGCCACAGAGATTGGCACACTGGAGCAGAGCAGTGGGAATTCTCATGTGACCGGACTGGAGTAGTCTGCATCCGAGCTTCAAGATCTTATTTCTCTCTGTGTGTGGTCTTGCCAACTCCTCGTAACAGCACTTGTTTATGCAGTTGCCCCCCACCCCGCCAAGAGTCAGTAAACAGATCCTCTCTAATTTCATTGTTATTCTCCTCCCCCCTCCACCTATGAGATTCTTAGCAGAGTTAGTTTTACTTCTTAGCACTGCCTTGCCAGTATATTACTTTTTGCCATCATGTTCCCACCCCACCCCCACCGCAAAGCAACATCTGTAAAAAAGAAGAAGAAGAAAGCAACCTGGGTTGAAATGGAGAGCAGCTTATTCTGAAAGCCTTCCAACAAGCAATGAGGAATCAAGATGCCCCTTAACCTTTCCCTGATCCTCTTTCCCTTCTACCTGATTATAGACTGCATGTTTAGCTACTTTAGTTAGCTTCAATGCATGCTCCCCCATGTGCAGCTTCCGATTGGTTTCAGCTTTGCCGTATCAGTCCACAAGCTTCCAGTTACCAGATGTAAGTCTGCAATCCCATGTATACTTATATGGAAGAAAGCTTTATTGAATCCAGGGGTGCATTCTTTGAAGTAAAGATGCATAGGATCTGGCTGTCACTTCGGGACTGCATTCCTGTGCACACTTCCTCGGGCAAAAGTCCCAGTGAACGCACGCTCCCACCTATAGACTCAAGCTGCATAGATTAAACAGGTGATGTTAATTCTATGCTAGTTATTTATCTGGTCTCCTTGTCAACCTACCTACTCATCTATTTCTGCTGGGGAGAAGAATAAGAGGGAGGAAAGCTGACATAATTTAAAGCTGCCAAGGAAGGCTAAGAGAACTCGTGGGCTGTCAAACAGAAGTGAAATCCCAAGCCCCAGAGAAAGGATCAGAGACGTTTCACAGTGCTTGGCAACAGCAAAGACTCTGGTGTATCATTTGCCTAAACAACTCCACAAGAAGCTTGGATTTTGCAGGAAGATTAGGACAGAGGGTTTTAAACATATTTGTGAAAATGAAAGAGCACCGACCTCAGCAAGCAGTTGGTCAACTCTTCCCAAAATAGCTGTCTCCATTTGGTCTGCGGAGAGGCAGGCAGGCAGCGGAGTGGATCTGTCTGCCTCCAAATCTGAAACCCTGGATTGCAGGTCCGACGTCCTGAAGTACAGCAGGAGGCTCAGCACCAAAGAAAGTAAAGATACTCCAGGCAGCCCAGAGCTCAGCAGAAGAGGTATCTTACAGCATCTTTCCCCATCTCCTGTCCTGGGATGTGTGAGGCAGCCGCTCTCCAAGGCACCAGGAGCAGCCCCCTTCCAGCCCTTCTCCTCCACCACCATTCCTTCCCTGGCCTGAGAGGCAATAAATAAATAAATATAGTATAAATAAAGCTGCAATCTTCCTCTCAGAAGTACAATCCAGAACGCATGAAAAGAGCACCGTCCAAGGGGATCCCAAATGCCACTGAAGGAAGAAAAGAAAAAAAAGGACAGCTAACAAAACCAAACAAAAATGTATAGGGATCAAAAGGAGGTGAAGGGAAAAGAATTTTCCCCTTCCGAGGGGAAAAATCAAACTCCAGAAAAGTTTTGGAGTTTTTTTGGGAGGGGAGGGGAAACAATCTGATCAGGGCTGTTGTTGTTGTTGTTGTTGTTGTTTGTCTTTCAGCCTCGTTTGTTGTCTCTGTTTTTCCTCCCTCCCTCTTTGTTTGATAAGTTTTCAGTTCCTTAGCAGAGCAGGCAACAGTTTGTGCATGGAGGTCCCCATTAGAGAGAGGTAATTCTCAAATGATTGGGAGTTGTACTGTGGCTGTTCCTGACTTCTCTGTAATATGACACACATACACACTCTCTCTCTCTCTTCTCTCCTCTCCTCTCTCTGTCTCAGATATGCTGGCTGCACGGCTTCCCAAAGCAACCTCCTCTGCTCTCCCTTTCTCTGCCGATGATTTATTTATTTATGCAAAACTGCTGGGTGGGATTGGATTCGAGGCTCCCACCTCCTCCAAAGCCCCACAGGTCCCTCAAGTGCCTTTCATCAGCTTCTCTTTGAAGTGGCACTCACTGCAGACATTTATAGCTGCAGGAAAGTGACTATAAAGCAGAGGGGCAGGACTTGTGTTACCCACCCACCCATCTCACATGAGGGCAGTTATGTCTGTGGGTTTGTTTTGATTTTCATTGCATCTGTGGAAGTCAAGCAGCAGCCTCCTGGTCTGCTCTTTCCAGACAGGTCTGCTGTTTTCAGACCAATTTCGGATCTAAAGAACTTTGGATAGTTCAGTCACCCAAGTGCTTTCAGTCAGTTGATTTGTCCTGAATCTTTTTTTTTTTGCGGCTCCTTTCTTTGTGTTGTGGCTTCATTGCTGATATGTCTGGATCCCTTTGGCTCAGGCATTTCACACATGTGAAGCATGTTCCTCATGTCAGCAAGGAAACCAAACTGCAATTCTGGAGAACAATGTGCGTGTGGGATGTAACTTCAGGCTAATGGTTCAAATCTCCTCAGTTAGGTTTGCCGGAGTACAGATATGTAAACCCTCCTTTAAAAATAGTAAGTTCATAGGACGGATTAACAGTTGTGCAAAGTAGGCTATGGCCCCTTATACTATGATGAAACTACAGGGGAATTTCATAGTGAGCTGAGGATGCTTAAAAGTGATAACGTCAGAAAGGGACAGTAGTTACAGTATGTAGGATTGACTAAAATTTCAGACACCTTTCCAGAATGAAGAATAGAATGGCCATGATTTCTGTACAGTTACAGGTTTTAGGTGCAGCTTCTGTGGGTGAGCGTTGGCTCTCTTGGCTACTAGCTATGATGGCTATGTTCTACCTCTGTTGCTAGAGGCAGGGCATTTCTGCATAGCAGCTGCTGGGAATCACAACTGGGAGAGTTCTGTTGCACTAGGATTCTGCTTGCAGGCTTCCCATAAGCACCTGGTTGGCCACTGTGAGAACAGGATGCTAGACTGGACTGTTCTTTGGTCTCTGACACAGGGATAGTATAGGGCTCCTGCATCCTTTAATCTAGCCTGTTAAAGGCCAGGACCTAGAGCTTAGATTAAATGAAGGAAATAGTACGGTTCCAATGGCTCCATTTGCCTCTGAAAAATAAATAATAGGAAGAAGAAGAAGAAGAAGAAGAAGAAGAAGAGGAGGAGGAGGAGGAGGAGGAGGAGGAGGAGGAGGAAGAATGGGCATTGGTGTAATCTCTGTATCCCAGGACACAGTAATTGGTGTAAACCTTGTATGAGCCAATGAATTGTAGATTCTGTAACACTGAGACTCAGAAATCTTAGTTCAACAGTGAGAACCCCTTAAATTTCTCTCTGACAGTAGCTGGTAAGGGAATGGAAACAGACTTCTTTGGTTGGATACAATTGCCTTAGAACTCACTTTGCAGGTCCTGAAATTGCACACCTCCTTCCAGCCATTCTCCAGAACTTCAATGCTACAGGAATTAATTTGGCAGTTCATGAGTCTACCCAGAAGCAGTTCCAACATAATGGTCAAACTCCATGAGAATGCTCTGTAATTATTCCTGTGAAGCAGTAATATTTGGAAAATGCTGAATTGAAATTGAAAATCCATGTGGCTCTGCCAGGAGTTTGGCCAACAGGCAGGAACTCAGTGAGCTCTGGTCTACAGGCAAGTGGCCAGGTTGAGTCAATAGAGTATTATAACTTTAGTCAGCTACAACCTAAGGCAAGTTATGGAGCCATAAAGACAAAATCATAGGTTTTTATCTGGGAGGCAGTTCCATAAGGTGAAGTAAGGTGAGCTGGGTGGGAAAGAAAAATCGTGTATGTTGAAGGAGGAAGGTCTTGGCTTGCTGGTTGCAGATTACCATGGAAACATTGAGAAATGGAAATAATCTACTCCAGAAGAAGTGCTAGCTCATCCAAAGGCATAGCCAGGAGCCAATAGTAAACCCAAAAGAAAGGATGGATTGGTGAATGCTAACTCTTCCTAAGTTTAAACAACAAAAACTATTGTGGCACATGAGAAGACTAACAAATGTTATGTGCCACAACTACCCAAGCATTCCATGTTGGTTGAAAACCCTTTGCTGGTTTTCCATGTTGATTGAAACACCAGATAGTGCTTATGCCCAACTTCAGTTAGTGTGCCAGCTACAGCTGTTCCAGGATCTGTCCAACTTGGCATCAATAACCCATGCTCTGATAACCTCATGTTCGGACTGCTACAGTGTGCGTTATATGGGACTACTCTTGAAGAAGATTCAGAAGATGTACTATAGCTGAAGCTACATGCTGCTACATTGTTATGGTGTGATTAGAGAAGACAGGGCCTTCTTAGTGATGGCACCAAGACTTTAGGACTCCTTCCCTGAAGAAATATGGCTGTTCCCCTCACTGTAGACATTTAGAGGCCTGCTAAGGACTCCTGTATTCACCTGGTCCTTCAGGAATTAAATGTCCCAATTTTTGCCTGGAATTTTTTGTAATGGTATTTTAATTATGTTGTACACCGCCCTGGGCTATTGATTGGGAGGAAGGGTTGTATAGAGATCAGATAAATAAACAAAGCATAGTTTAGTGCAGCATACAAACATGGCCACTTAACAAGAGGTAACAGTGTGGTAAAGCTAGCTCCAGGTTTGAGGAGGCCCTTGGCGAAGTACCCTCTGAGTACCCTCTGAGTAGCACCCTCCAACAGCAACAGGCTAGCCAAGTGAGCTTACCGGGTAGTGATGGCAAATGACACCAGTACTCTGATTAGGGCCAGGTACCTGGATCTCTTGCAGTCCATGGGACTCTTGAGAGTCCCATGGACTGCAAGATCAAACCTCTCCATTCTTAAGGAAATCAGCCCTGAGTGCTCACTGGAAGGACAGATCATGAAGCTGAGGCTCCAATACTTTGGCCACCTCATGAGAAGAGAAGACTCCCTGGAAAAGACCCTGATGTTGGGAAAGTGGAGGGCACAAGGAGAAGGGGACGACAGAGGATGAGATGGTTGGACAGTGTTCTCGAAGCTACCAGCATGAGTTTGACCAAACTGCGGGAGGCAGTGGAAGACAGGAGTGCCTGGCGTGCTCTGGTTCATGGGGTCACGAAGAGTTGAACACGACTAAACGACTAAACAACAACACCTGGATCTAGGAACCAGACACCATTTTAATTCCCCAAATGCCCACTCCACTTGGGGCACTCGGTAAAATTAAAATGGCAGCAGGCTCTTAGCCCAGCTTCGGCTAGGGAGGGCAGGATATAAATAAAATTTTATTTATTTATTTATGTATTTATTATTATTATTATTATTATTATTATTATTATTATTATTATTACCATGTCCTGATTTATGAGAATAAATTCACGTAAATAGAGTCCAGGGCAGTAGGGCAGGTGTTAGCAGTGGACCCTGTGGAGTGTCCAGGATACTGGATTGGCAGAACAATGCAATGGTTTTATCCCAGTTAACTGACAGATCAGGCCAGACAAGCATTCCAAATGAACTGATTGTGCACCCTAGAGCATGGTGCAAGATGTGCTGCCGACATGCAAGGATTTGTTTGCTGATGATGTGAAAAAGGTTCCCTAAAGGTAGACAGTTTGAAATAACTATTTGAAGTCAATAACCCATATTCTGAAAGACGACAACTCCACAGATCCTTAATGGATGTGTGCCTTCTTTGTGAATGTCCCAGTAGGCACCACGGTTTGGGGTCAGTCTACCTCATATAGACACACTGAAAGAAAGCAGCCCGAGGCTACTGTGAAGCGTGCTTACTAAAACACATGCTGAAAATTGGCCTCTCAAGTGGAGCTCCCTTCTGACTCTTTGCCTGTCATTTACACAGTTTAAATGAACATTTTGCGTGCAGTCTGTGCTGGAAATTGCTGGCAAAGGAAACTCATATTTGTCTCCAGCCTGAGCTCAGTTTCAGAGTGTTTTGAAGAAATGGACCTTTTGGGACCCAGTTGAAGAGAGCGAGAGAGATCTGTTACCCTTCCGTCAAATAAACCTTTGAAGGACCCAAGAGCACACGGTGTTTATTCTTTGAACAGCCATATCCCTTTCGCAAGCCACTTGTTTTCTAAAATGAGATTTTAGTGTCTGCTTGACAGGAAATCCTTTCTTAATTTCTTCTAATGGGTTCCTTGTCATTTAACAGCTCAAATGAATGTTGTGCCTTTGGTATGCTTTGCAAACATGCTCCTATTAACAGATATCTTCTTTCAGCAGCTTTTCATATATATATCTGAGTCTTTCTAACACATGATGAGGTGCAAGGAATAAGTGCATTAATTTTTGAAGAACGTTGTGTAGATTTCTTCTGATCTTTGCGGTGCTTTGATTTTTTTTAAAGGTTCTATGGATACAGCTCAGTTAACATTGTTATGCAGTATATTAAACTCCGTTTGTTTATTCAATTACACCCCATTTTTTAGTCCTGATCAGCTCCTGATGTAGCTTTAGAAAAATAAACAAATGCAATCCATGAAAAGGCACACTAGATTGGGGTGCCTGGTAGTGTTCTATGGCAATCTATTCTGGTCCCTAACAATTTGTTTTTTTGTCCAGGTTCCACACTGAGGTTCTTCCTCCAAGATGGAAAACGAAGAAGGAAGTGCAGATGGACAAAAGGGCTGGCTGATTATAAAGATATCAGCTCACAGAAAGCTCCTGTCTGATGATATCAATATGTCCTCCGGACAGTAAATTAGTATTGCTCTCTCTTAAAAAGGATGGCAATTGCAATAGAGATGGCAATTGCAATAAGGAACCGTGGATGGGCACAGTCCTGTAATTCCCAAAGTGTATCATGAGAAAAACTGGTACAGTGTTGCAAGAAATAAATGAAATAAGGAATTAAAGGCTCTTGTGAATTCATAGTATTCATCTACAGAGGGGACTCTCTGCATGAGTTGCAGCTTTGAACTTGCTTAGAACAATGATTCATGCAATAACATGGGATGGACGCGGGATGAGAGTTAAGAGTAGTTACTTTTCCACTCTGAAATCTTATCTCATTGGGTATAACAAAAGTTTGGAAACACTGGTGAACAATGGGATTAGAAGAGCAAAGAGGCAAGCTGGTAGGTCAAGTGGATGGGTTGAGCAACCTAGATCCAAACCTAGTACACTCTAGATGGTTTAGACTAAAACTCCCATCATCCCTGACTGTGGGTCAAGATGTCTGAGGCTGATGGGAGTTGGAGAGCACCAGATTGGGTTATATGGTCAAAGTTCAAACAAGGCCTGCCAGAATCTCTGCTGAGTTGCTCAGACCATGAACTAAGCAGGACAAGAAGTTACGCAGATGAATTCTGAATTTATTTGCTGTACAGTGGTACCTCGTTTTGAGTCTACCCCATTTCGGGTCCATTTTGTCCAACGTCTGCGGCAAACCCGGAAGTACCGGAACAAGTTACTTCCAGGTCTGCCGCTCGCGCACACGCAAAAGCACTAAATCGTGCTTCGTGCATGCACAGAGCAGTGCTTTGTCGAGCGCCCCTTTCGTTGAGCGTCCAGGGCTCCACAATGGATCCCGGACGCAAAAGGAGGTACGACTGTATATGGTACAACTTCTGTTGGTGCAAACCATGGGGATCAGTAACTGAAATTCCCTAAGATGGGTTGAGAAGAATCTCTGTGTACTTCACTTGCATAGGAGCCAACTCCTAGGGGCTGAGGTCCCTTGTCCCCACCCCCAATAAAATATTTCATGGGGCTGCCCCCCCAAGTGATGGGCATTGCCATTCAAATGGTGTGTGTGTGCAGCGTCTTGTGATCAATTATGCAGGGTGGAGTTTACCTGCCCACCCCCAATATTTTATTCAGGTTGGTACCCCTGTTCACTTGTAATTTCCTCATGTGGTCTAGAGGGCAAAGCTCTCTGAATCCTCTCTAGGAGTCACAAATTGAGACTTCCTCAGATACCACCCCCACCCCCTCCCACCCCCAAAAACCAGCCCAAAGATCAATGAGTGTGGACTGACTCTTGTGGATATCAGGAAGATGGGAAAATGGGCATATAAAGGAATAAATGTACCCTGCTGTAATCTCCTTAGGGTGATAGCAGGTTTTTTCATCACAGGGAGAGAAGTGCTCCAGATTGCTGATCATTCTAACATCTATTCTTCTTTCAACAATTTTTTTCTAGTACCTATGGACTTATGTGAAGGCATTATGATAGAGACCATTTTGCTTTCAGTCTCCCTCCCAATAACTCGAAATGCTGTATTTGATTTTGGGTTGCTATTTTTGTATTACTGCTGCTCTTTTCTTTGATAGAATCCACCCTGGTTTTCTTTCCTGATTTGCCAGCCAACTTAGATCCTATCTGTGTATAAATGGAGTTATGGTTTTCCTCTCCAGTGTGTATTACTTTAGACTGACCTACATAGAATCTCATCTGCCGTTTTGTTACTCATTCACCAAGTCTGGACTCTAGAGATATCCTTTTGGATTTTTATACACACAGTCTGCTTGGGTTTTCGCTAATCTGAATAATTTGTTATCATCTGGACACTCACCCCTGACTCTAGATAATTTATAAATAAGAAAGAAAGCATCACTCCCAATACATGTCCTTGAGAGACCCCACTGGTTATTTCCCTTCATTGTGAAAACTTCCTATTTTATTCCCACAGCATCCTGTTTTTGATCCAGCTATCAATCTATAAGAGGCCTCACTCTCTGATTGCTAGGTTTATTTAGGAGTCTTTGGTGGCTCCCCAGAGGTGATTCACCAATAGTCTGTTGCCACACTCAAAGAATTATAAAAAGCTTAACAAGACAGGACTCCCCTACGTAGAAACCATTCAGAAGCCCCAGCAAGGCTTATTCCTTTATATGCTTGAATTCTACCATTAAAACACTTTCCATCAATTTATCGGTTATGCATATTAAGCTACTGGGCTTGTAATTTCCAGACACTCCTTGAATTCCTTTTAAAAACAGGTGTTACCTTGACCACTCCTTCCAATCCTCCACTTATGAGGTCAATTTTAGGGATAGCATGCATATTTTTGTTAGAAGATCATCAGCTGCATGTGTGTCTTGGTGTGCTGCATCAGCTTGGCAGGAGGAAGGGAGGTCAAGTGAGGCGCAGGCCCACCATGCTGGCTATATGCCATGTGAACCCAAATACACGTTTATATTTAATTTGGATATTAGCTCTAGAACGTCATCTCTTTATACCTCAGTCTGTGTTCCTCAGGTACCATCCCCAGGAAAGGCTATTCTGATGTGAGTTACCTTTACAGAATCCTCTGTAGTGACAGTTCAAATAATTAATCTCACTTCTTTGCAAACTCCCAATCCTTCTTCAGTAATGAGGATAGGTCTAGGAGATGTCTAATTCCTGTCACTAGAGGGAACAGATGCTGGATTTTGAACTGATCAGATTGTTGTACATTAAGACTTCAATCCTAACCCTGCCTCCTCAGAGGTAAGTCCTGATGAATTCAGTGGGCCATACGCCTAGGTAAATGGTGCTAGGATTGTAACCTCAAGGATACCCTAAAATATGGAACTGGGGATTTGAAAGTGAATGTCTGAAGTACCGTATCGGCCCGAATATAAGCCATACCCGAATATAAGCCGCACCTTTTAAAATTGGAGGCGCGGGGAGAAAAACCACCCAAATATAAGCCGCTCCCTTCCTCACTGCTCCTGGCTGCATACTGGGGGGGGGCATGCTGCGTTGCCGGTGGCTTTCCCCCTTCCTCACTCTCTCCCTTCCCGGTGGGCACCGCTTTGCTGCGCTGCTGGTGCTGTTTGCCCCAAGCTCCTGGCTGTATAGCGTAAGGTCACGAATAGAAACAGCACTTTAACTTTTCATGGTCGAAATTTGGAGGGAAAGTGAGGCTTATATTCAGGCCAATATGGTAATACAGTGTTCAAGGTCTGCCCTTCTTGTCTACAACAATTCATTCTATAGCTGTGTTCAAACAATTCCATTAAAGCACATTCGAAACACATTATTTCATTCAATAATTCTGGGCACCGTAGTTTACCCCTCACAGATTTAAATTTTCCAGCAACCTTTAACAAACTACAGTACCCAGAATTCTTTGAGGGAAATAATAAGTGTTAAAGGCATAGTGTGTTCACAACATAAATTATTCAATTTCAGATTTTCCTGACAAGTCTGTAGTGTATACACATAACCATTACTGCATGCCAAAACTGTCACAGTAAGTTTTATTTTGGTAGCTGGTTCTATACTTATAGGGTGTTCAGCGTGTACTAAGGATTATACCATGCATTTGTTTCAGCCTGCAGCCTGCCCTGTCTTGGAAGGCTAACCACACACAGACATCTATTTTCAGAACTATATAGACAATTACCAATTGTGCCAAAATATGCTAATCATTTCCTAAACCAGACCACTACTTAAGTATATATTAAAACATTTATGCCACCCTTCAACCTCTTTGGGATTTCTGTGCAGTATGCAACAAAAATTTATATCATAATGCAAAGTAACGTTTACAGAACAGCAGCTAAGACCCTTAAAAGGAGTCTGAGATTTGCAACATATTAAAATGCCTGGGTAAATAAAAGTATTTTAAATATTCCATCACAGCCATGGCCATGGCTTAAGTAAGCCAGTTGCTGGCATTCTTCCTCCCCACCCACTACCTCAATCTACCAGTGTGAGGGCTACATCTGAACCAAACTTTATCCTTAATGTTTACAAAGGAAAACGGCTACCATATGTGTAGCCTTCATACCTCAGAACTAACCAGAGAGAGTTCTCCATAATTCACTATTGATTTGTGATACAGGTATTGCAGCCAAGATGCCTGAATGAGTTTATAACTGCTTTTTCCTGCCTCTCAGCCACCTCCATCCTCTCTTCCATCAGTTCATTTGCTGGCCATGTCATGCTGTTTCTCTAGGCGCGGGTTGCTGCATGTCAGTATAGTTTAGGTCAAATGAGAAGCTTTGGCTGCAGATGTGCAGGACGGGTAATTTCTTTATCCACAAGGCATTAAGGAGTCTTATAATCCTGTGCCAATATAAACGGACTAATTTAGCTGCAGACCTCTTCCAACTGGTATACTTTGAATTATCAGGGCTGCCCTGTTTAATAAAGTGCCTCCAGGGACATTCTCCACCCCCCAGGGAACTTGGAATCACTTTCTGACTCTTTGATATACGCGGAAAGATCCATGGTGTGGACCTTCCTAAAAATGTGAAGTACAAGGCAGGAGTGTTTGTTCCTGACCCTGAAATGGGACTGGGAATGGCTGTGTCTGAAAGCTGGGAAAAGATAAATAGATGGCTACAATGCTAGCAGATGGTTTTCACTAGTCCAAAATTTCTAATTTCTAATGGAAAAATTCATCAGTATGGAGGGCTGATCATTATGCTCTAAATCATTTATACCCCGCCCATCCGGCTGGGTTTCCCAGGTGGCCTTCCAAAGGTTGATGTATTCCAACTCCCACCAACCCTAGATTAGCCAGTTGTGCTCTAAATATTGGTTTTCCAAAATGAGAAAGTTGTCACTGCATAAAATATTTGCTGAGCTCCTGGTTTATCTGGAGCTATAAAATATCATAGGTTCTAAACTACCAATGGTTTGGCAAATGGTAATCACATATGGTTTCCAACTGCTGATAATAAGACCAAGACTATTTGCAGCATGGGGCAAAGTGGGTAAGGAGGGTAGTGACACACAACAGATATGTAAATGCATGTATTTATGGCAAAATAGCCTATTAATAATCTAAATTCTAAAAATCACTTCTGGGTAAGATGGATTGGTCCATTCAAGTCTGCCAATTTTTAAGTTGAGAACAACATTCAGATAAGTGTAAAATCCAAAGAGTTATTTTGTTCTAGTCCACACATTAGTCTG